GCTGCGGTTGCCAGCCTCAAAATTTAAAACAAAACAAACATAGCCAGATATTTATTTCAAGAACGAGATATAATATGATTAGTTGCGTATTATGTTTATCATGGAAATTATGATGCATAGTGATGATTACCCTAGCGTTAGCTAGAAAATATTTCACTTACAGGGCAGATCATGTAATTTTTTAAGGGAGCAAACAAATCTAATCGCAAGATATGAAATAATAGCATTTCAAAATACTAGAGTTAGTGCTGAGGTTATATTTCGCGTGTGTTCTAATAAAAAATTTCAAGATACAATTCTGCGATTTGATTTGTTCGCCCCTTAAAAAATCACATGTTGTTGTTCAATATCCGATTCCCGATCTAAATATTTTCTGACTATGTCATATCGATATAAGATCTGTGACGGTTGCGTTTTTTAATCTGTATTAAGGAATCAAAAGTTTTATAACTTTTTTTTTTAGCAAAATCAGGTGTAATTAATACAATGATGAGCTTACGTAAAATGAATAAATAGAATGAATTAAAAAATCACCTTGGACTTACACATATGAAAAAATGCCAATTATCATGTTGTGGATTTCTTCATTAGTTCCACAACTCAAGGACATACAGTGTTGAAGTGCTTTTGTCACTTCACCTTCAAGAGCAGCCTGGGTGAAGCATAACATAGACTACAGGTTAAATGATTATGTTATATAACCATTTTACATTTCAATTTTCAATCAGATTGGTAAACCTGTTTGATCTCGCGCATTGTACTTTTGAAACGCGTATCAAAAGTAAACGAAAACACTTCACTCTCCCATTTTTTAGATTTATCGACTATTTTGGAGACAATTTTCTATGCTTTAGGACATTGCTTCATCCATGACATGCAACTCAAATCGTTTTGATTAGCAATTGACGACCAAGAGAGGATAAAGTTCATGTGTATGGGTCAATTAATTAGGAAAGTAATTCCTCACATATTATACTCATAAGTATTGATACTAAGAAATCTTTAAAATAAGTTTAATCTCATCTAATGTTATAAATAATTCTGCCTATATTTCAAATACGGTGGTTGTAAAAATATTCTGCATACTTGTGGTAATTGATTACTTGATATGGATGCTTCTTAAATGGTTAACACCACTTGAAGGCATACTTAATCCAAAATACATAACATTAAATTCATATAGACCATTTGTAATAAAAGCAGTTTTCTTTCTCAGAACATTGGCTCTTTAGTACAAAAATAATAACATCATGTTCATCACCAAACAGTATGCTAGGCTGGATGAAATCAGCAATCACAGAGTGCTCAATACCATCATAATTCTGGTTGAACATGAGAAAAAAATTGGCGAGATATGAATATCTCGCTATTAAAGAATTATATGGAGTCAAAGGTAAGTACATTTATTTCTGCTCATCAATTAATGTGAATTTTATTTTCATCTATCATTTCCTTCCACACAATAATTTTTTTTATTTTTTTTAGTGTTCCACATAATCCAACCAAATTGAAAGAAGAAATTCAGACTCATTAAGATAAGTATATAGTATCTTTTTTTGTTTGGTAGTAGATAGAAACTAAACGACATTACTAAAAATAACCAAATCATAATTTCAATTCCCAATGCCTTGGATTTCTCATGAAAAATATGTCTGCATTATGCTCTTCGACAAGAAGGGTATTCATTTCGAGAAATCACTGTGTTGAAGCAGCTGGACGTGGCTTAATCCACACATCAACCCTTTTCGCCACATTATGAGCGAAATACTGTATAGTATGACCAATGCAGTCTGAAAAATGCTTCACTGCCGCCCAGATTTAATATGAGCTCAAAAATGAGCTGAATATTAATTTATCAGTGGAGTGCATACGGAGAATACTTCGAAAAATGGCTTATCTGCAAGAATAAGGCGAAAAAAGCCTTTACTCAGTAAAAGCCACTGAAGAAAAAGATTAATTGGGCAAAGAATACAGAAATTGGACATTTAATGATTAAAAGCGAATAATTTGTTCTGACGAAAGCAAGTCCCAACTATTTGGGTCAGACGGGAGGAAGTACTGTTGGAAGAAGCCTGACGAACCTTTAAAAGGTCATCATAACACACCAACAGTAAAATTTGGTGATGATTCAATTATGGTTTAGAGTTGCTTTACCACCGATAGAGTTAGCTGATGAACTTAAAAAAATTGATGGAAAAAGGACAGCTGATGTCTATGTTAATATTTTAAATATTAACTTATTGGACACAGTCTGGGAGATGATGCTGGAAGATTCAAATTTTTTCTTCCAGCAAGACAATGATCCAAAACACGTTTCCAAAAAAGCGAAGTATGGTTCGTCAATAATGAGATAAACTTACTTGACTGGCCATCGCAGTCTCCTGACTTGAACCCTATCGAACATTTATGGAATGAAGTCGATACACGTTTGAGGCACCTCTCTGGCTCACTTTCAATAAAGAAGACTTGTGGAAAAGCTACAAATCGCGTGAAAAAACATTGATATCGACTTTTGTACAAAGTTGGTTGACTCAATGCCAAAAAGAATAAACGATGTCGTAACGGCAAAGGTGCTTCTAAAAAATGGTAAATTAGGTTTAATCAGTTTTGTAATATCAAAGAATTTAGAACTGTTGAATTACCTTAATTAGCAAACTATCTGCAAATTTCTTCCCCCAATTCGGTTGTATTACGCCGAATACTAAAAAAAATAAAAAATTATTGTGTAAAATAGAAATGATGGATGAAAATAAAATTTGAATTGATTGATGAGCAGCATTTTAACAAATAAAATACACCTACCGTATAAAAGTACTGATGAGCTCATCTATAATGTCAGGCGACATTTTGTTGTATTTTATATACATACTTTGTAGAGGGTTCGGAAGCTGAAACATTTGGCCTTTTGGCAGGCCCTTCATAAAGATTTAGAATCTCTTGTGTTATATGCTCAAGAGATTTCGATGTAATCTTCTGGGCAACTGCACTATAGGAAAATGATAACTGAAGTACTTACCCGTTCTTTGGCAGCCTTATTTTCGCGTGCCAAACTTTCACAGAAATACTTGATTTTTGATTACGCTATCTTTTCTATGAATCATTTAACTTTATATTATCCGATCGATGGATGATGGTTAAACCACTAAGGAACGGGTTTCGACAATATTGATTAGGGAATGTGACTTATAATTGAGCTGTAACATCTACCTTTCCCTGAAATTTCTTTTAACTTGAATGGCTGAATAGCTAAATTATATTTTTCTTAATAAATTTTCATCACCGTTACACGTACATGACATGTGATTAGCTAAAAAATTGAAAATTTCAGTCCAATTACAGCATGTAATTTTGCAAATCAACAAAATGTAATTTTACATCCGAATTTACTTCAAAATTAAAGTCAATCCCAACCTTCATCTTTTCGTCCAATTCTTTCTATTTCTAATTTAAGACACCTTTTAGTTTCTTCATCTGTTTGAAGATATTTTATAGAACCATTGGATTTAGTGATATTTTCAATAGAGACAATAAATTGGTAAAGTTCCTAAGCGGGTTGTCTGTCTGTATTCTGGAATAGGATCATTTGCACCATCCGAGAATATTATTTGGTATCATAAGTCGTTTATAAATGTCGCATATGAAATGTATATCATGTCTCCATTCACCAAATATCTGCAGCTTTAGTGTATGGCTTTCAATTTAACATCTCTGGACACATATAAGGAAGTACTCTCACAAATTTCTTAATTAGATTTTCTAATTTTTTTTGGAATACAAAGTTCAAAATTAGCAATTCGAGGAAAGTAAAAAACATTAATATATTTCCAGGGTGAAAATTACGATGTACAAACTTTGCTCCATGAATTTTTGTTGGATCATTGATAATAATATATAAACCAACTTAACTTCTGATTCCAAGTCAATTTACTACTGAATATTCATTCGTCGTTGCGGTTTTTTAGTTATTCCATAATATTTAATATTACTGCATTTTAGAGACGTCTTGATCTATCTTTGAAAATTTAATTGTATCAGAAAATAAAATCAGCTTTCACTTTAGAAAATGTTCATTTTTACCCTCTTTTATAAACTCAAATAATTTGTTTTGAACTATGCAATGATTCAACAGATTTTCAATTTCGTTACTTCGTGTGAATTATTTCTTCATAAGGCCACTTGGAATAGTAGTCTAATGGCGGACCCATACAACCAAGTTGCATTATCAGTAGACCTATTCTACGTTGTTAAACCTTTCAAAAGGAATCTGCATTCTTTTTAGATTGTCGATCTTCGCCAGTACCTGTACATTTTTTTGACACATTCCATCATCATTATCGAATATTGGATTTGCAATCGTCACTTTAGAAAATGTTCATTTGTTACCTCGTTTATAAACTCTGTAGTCAATTTGCTTTGGAATTGTGCAATGATGTCAACACAACCTTGGATTCTCCCTTTCGTTTAAATTTATTTTTTTATGACCCCCACTTTTACACCCATCCTTTATTAATTGGTCCATCTAACCAGGTTGCTTATAAATTGTCCCAAAACCTCCTTTTTGCTAGATACTCGACATTGGTAAATTTTCAAAAGGATTCATTCGAATATATTTGATATTTATACTTATCTTTATCTCCGTTAAACAATTCATCGTTATAAATTCGCATGTGATAATTGAAACAGTTATAACATCATTGTTTCTTTGACAACCCAGTACATTTACTACACTATGAGTATTGTGAACTAAGCACTCATTGCAATGGGAAATTTTTTGCTTTATGTTAATATGGCATAATATTGGAACAAGATAAATGCTCGAATTTTCCAACAGAAGCTCGAAAAGCACGGCTCGCTATCTTAAGGTTACTAATCTTAATCCTATCCAACAGAAAAAAGAATAATCACAATAGATAAAAGGAATAACATGAATTTATTCTATTATAAATCACTAAAGGAGTCTTATAACAGTATGGTATTAATTTATAAATGAAAGCAAGTTTTCAAATTTGATTATGATTCAAGACCCTCAATTCAAGCTGCTGATAGATATTTAACATCCTCTCATAGATCAAAGTATTTTCCGAGCTTGGATCAGCAATCATAAAAAGATCCGACATCGAACTAGAACTATTGGCATTCCTAAATGTGGTCATTAGAGCTTTCAAAGCAGCACCGTATCCTGCTGAATTCTTACCAGAATATCGCCACACATCAACTCCAAACACATCTGTTAACACTTTTAAAATTTCCGTATTCTCACTTGCTCCGCCAATGGCGATAATTCTCTTCCACTCTTTATCCGACATCAATTTTTCTGTCCGAATTCGCATCGACATAAATTGGCTCTCTAAAATTGCACGCGCATTATATTTTGGATCATCAAATTCTTCTACCAGTTCTTGGTTAACAAACCGATGAATTCCATGAGCGAATGGTGTAATTTCCTGGATGCGGAAATAGAATCCGATTTTATTTTCATGCGGATGTGGATACGAAAGTAGTATTTCATTGAATTTATTCCATGATTTATTCGCATATACGTCGCGAATATATTCTCGGGTAAGACTTCCATTTTTATAGCAGAGCATTGAAATGTAAGTGTTTGGGTCAATTGGATGACAAAGAGTATGAGATTCTGTGTTAGGATCTGCTTGATTTGTCAGGAGTAACACGGTATCGGAAGTCCCAAGTGATATAACTATGTCGCCCGATTCAAGTCTTAAAGAAAGGAGACTTGACGGATTATCTCCCATAAATGGCAAGATCATACATTCTATTGAAGGATAAAACTCCTTAGTTTTCTAATTAATAATATTAATCCATTAAAAATTTCAACATTCTTACCGCAATCAAATCCATATCTCTTTATAAAATACTCTGAGATTTTACCAATTATCTTGAAACCATCCTTCTCAGGCTCGCCAAGTTTTTGCCGTAATTCCGAACCACCACATGCTTCCAACAACCGATTATCCCACTCTTTCGTATAGATATTTAAAAGATTCATTCCTGAACCATCAGAAACATCAATTTGCGCGTATTTTCCTAAAAAAAGGGTTGCTAGAAATGAACTGACTAACGAAATTCTTTCTGTCTCATCATATGCTTGTCGATTGTGCCGATATATCTTAAAAAAATAACTCGTTAATAAAAAATATAAGTAAAATAATATCAAACAATGTTATTTATTACCTTTGCGATTTGATTCCCGGTAAACCTTTCATAGGCTTTCGAGCCCGTAAGTTTAGCTAGCATTTCAGGGCCGCTTACAATCGACTCCAATTGACGACATTCTTGAGTAGTGCTTGAATCCTGCCATGTTGGTGAATCCAGAATCGAGAAACAGTTACTCAATTGGGTGACGAGCGATTGACTTGGATCTAAATTTGCGAGTATGTTCGCTGCATTATTTCGCCAATAAACGCTACCATGTTGCTAATAAAAAGTTCCAATGGGCGTGAAAACTAATCCATCAAAAATTTGTTTGAAATTTCCGAATATCACCTGCCCAGCACCTGAAACAGCCTTAACGTATCGAAAAGGAAACCCAACAGATTGAAGTTTTGTGAAAAGGCGATCAACTGCTGCGACCCACATTAATGTTGGTGATGTAATAATATTTCCGTTTGCAATAACTCCATTTTTTGTTCTTTTTAATCAATTTGAATTGTTTGATTATCCCAAAATTGTGTAAGAACAAAATTAATGTTAAATATCTACCCATATTCAGGTAACTCTTTGTCGAAATTCACTGATTCCTCCAAAATCACTTTGGAATTTTCGTCGACTACAGTTAGCTTTAACTGTTGTGTTGACAAATCTAGACCAAAAAAAAGATTTTCCATTTTTTTTGCTGCTGTATAACTTAACCGTCATTAAAATGGCGGATACACTGTAACATGGAATTGGACTACTTCACGTAGATCCCGATCTGCGTGATATTGGGCATAGGATCAGATCTCGTGATTAGTGAAATTAGGAGTTTTAGTGGAAGTTAGTATAATTGATGCATCGATGGTCTAATAATAGAGTATACCAATAAATTCCCAAGGTGTACAAATAGGTCGCCAACTAATGAATCAAATAAAAATGATTTAATTAGGCTTGGCGTCGTGATGAGAGTGGGATCGTGATGAGAAAATTGGGCGGAAATTCAACTATAAGTAGAGACTATGCGAAGTATTATAAAAGAAATCACGTTATTATGATCAATGAATTACCTTCTTAAGTAGGAATTAGCAGCATCATTATTAAGAAAAGGTCAATTGGGCAACTTTACAAAAAAGTCAGTAGAGATCGACGATTTAATAGATATAAATAACGGGAAAAGCGGAAATTAAACTTTGTAGAACCTCGTGATCGTACAGTCTCACGGTTTGCTCGATAGATTCTACTGGAAATGAATTTGTCTGCAAGGTAGAAGAAATAAATCGAGTTGGTGTTACATGTATAATATAATAACAGTTTTTTCATTCAAATACGAAAGTCAAGAAAAATTTGATTCACAATTTATTTTTGTTGCTATAGTATTAAAATTTTCATTTCGTTATTTATAGTGCCACACGTCACAACGAGAAATCCCGGGATTACGAAAATCCTGGATAATGCACGAAAAATAATTATTCCTATTGTCCACACCAGCTGAGCAAAATTCCGCGAAATTCATACGAAAATTCTTACCTTGTATATCAACATTAATGCCACTTCGAAAATTCATACTTGTAATTACCCCAATAATAAGAATTTCTTACAAAAAATTTCTTACTTTGCACTTCTAATTACGTAAATATCATTAGAAATTTCATACAAAGCTCGTATCGTACATTATTTTTGACCAATAGAAATATTACATCTTCAAAAATTCATATTTTGTATTCTACTTAGTAATTCTACTTTATAATTGCATTAATTTATTTTATTCCTCATCTCGAAGCATAACCATGATCTTTTTGAAAAATGATCACACTTTGTACTATAGACTCACGAAATCTGTACTAATTATGATGCAATAACTAAAACTATAGCTATGCCTATAAATATAAATACACGTAAAAAAAACCAACTAATGGAATCTACACCAATCAAATCTTTACTTCAAAATTCCAACTGATAAAAATACGTATATTTATTTTATATTCTATCAAAATGACATTTCATATTAATTGATGATATTTAGGTTCTACAAGTGTTGATTTATACGTTTCAAACGAAGGTAAAATCACTATTATCATTGCTACACCTTTAATTTAAAATGACATAACTATGATTGGGAGTGTTAGACTGAATAATTTACAATTAAAGGGGTTCTTTAACGTTCTAAAGGTCTCCCGTGGTGACTTGTACGCAAAACGCTCTTTAAAATAGATCTCGCGAAAGGATTCTGATGCCACCACAAAAGACAAACGACAAAGACTTATTGACACAGCCTGGTAATAGCAATTCAAATATGGTTTCAGTCAACCAAAACTTAATCGTATTTACAAGCAAAGATTAGACTTAATTTCTGTCAACAAATCAATATAAAAATTCTATATATGAATTGTTTATAGTGAAGTTTCTCGATTACTTGTACAAAAGATAAGCTTTGAAGTTAATTAATGGAAATTAAGTAAAGGTAAGTTGTTATTTGATAAAGCATATTTTTCTTGGTTAACGTTAATATTATCTTTTTATACATTTTCTCAATATGATTTTAAATGTTCTGATCTGATTATTAACAACTCTCATAATTATGAAAGTATGCAGTTTTTTATTGTATATTTGTAAGAAACGACATGCTGTTACCGTGTTTGAACAATTAGCCAAATTTGTGGATGCGTTAAAGCTTAACACCCACGTGATCATGTCCAATAGGCATGCGCAGATTTTGTCAATTACCAATAAGAATGCACAAATTTTCAATCAACACAGCAAAACAAATTCGAACCAAGATTTGAAAAATGCGAGAAATGTGATGCTTAACCTGTCATGAAATATTAGTTAAAATGCCAGGAAGACAATTTTACATATAATCTTATCCATTAAACCTAAACATTATACATGTAAAATCATTAATCGGTTGCCACTGAAAATTTACTTATATTTTTCGAAATTCTATTTCAAATTATAATTACAATTTCTACTTCAAGTTCTAATTTGAGCTCAATCCAAAATCACTTTTTAAATTTGATGCAGTGCTCTATCAATTATTCTATATGTAATTCTCTTACAAAACTTAGTTTTCTACTGTGCTTCTTATTGTTTTATTTTATTTTAATTATTAAACACTTAATTGCAAAATAATTAAGAAATCTTACAATTAAGAAAAAATGTATAAAACTGTTTTTGCTCAATAAAAAATAAGAATTGCTTATAATTACCGTTTAAAAATGTTCTATTGCTTGTAAAATCCCTCTAATAAATTTATCTCAGAATCGCGTACGATTCTATGGTTAGACTTTTGATCTAGAAAAGATGTAGTTTTGTGAATAGGATAAACCGCTAACGCGTTTAATTGTAATAGTTTAAGGCTTTTATCTAGAAAACGCAACCATTAAGAGTTTGAACCAAGACTAAAGGGAAACCACGTAGATGTATTATCTAAACTACTTACTCTCTCGTTCATTTTTTCAAAACGATATCCGTAGAGATCGGCATAAGAATTGTCTAGATAACCTCACAGACATATATTCTAAAGATCCGTATATATATTTTAAAATGAGTTTTATTTGATTGTTTGTTGTCATTTGAAATATTATATGAGAGCATAAATTAAATAATAATTAAGTTTATTTTATTGCTAGGTTACTTTTTATCATTTGATAATTTAGATCTTATTTTTTCCTTCACGTTTTTACAAATGAAAATTAAAACTGTGAATTAAGTGAAATGATAACTGATGATTATTATTCAATGACGATTTATTACATTACATATTACTTATAACGTTATTAAAATATATAGCTGCATAAAATTTACGTAACGTATTATTCCGCCACATTATATCCAATGATCTGGTTTAAAGGACAGTTATAATGAGATATTTCGCTTGTTAATTTAGAATTTATTGTTACAAATTCGTTGGTGTTGTATAATTATCACGTTCTTTATTATTTCAAATTCAAAATTCGTTTGTGATATTTTTTTCTTCTTATATTTTAAATTATAAATAATATTTTTCAGGCACATATCTTAATTGTTTTATAGATTCTTTAAGTACAGATATCTTTTTACATTTTGCATTCAAACTATTTTATCATTCTATATTTATTGCAATTTATCAAAAATGCTTGAATGTATGAATTATGCTACAATTATTGCAACTTTTTGATTTCATTTAATGGTGGTTCAATTTATTTATGAAGCAATAAAATTGATAGATAACTTATGGATTTATAATGTGAATTTTTTGGAGTTTCAAAATTGTTGTACGAGATCAATGAAAAGGCAAACCATCTTGTTTAAATAAAACCTAGATATAAAAATTTAGATTGAATAAAACACATTGCACTCATCTCATCCTTTACATTTTATTATAAGTAATCATGAAACATTTTTGTAGTTAATAAATCATTTATTATTTGTTGCTATAACAAATAATATATAATGCACAAAATGAAGGTAAAATTATTGTTACACGCAATTCAAAAGTTAATTGGACTAAATAATTACATATGCAACAAAGAATCGAGAGCAAACTGAATGACTTACATAGAGTGGGTATCGTTAGGTTCTAAAGGTTTCCTGTGCCAATCTACAGGGAGATTGAGCAAAAGAAGAAATTATGAATTTAGTATTATACAATATGAAAAGTTCAAAATAATATTCAAATACTAATAGCAAATAACGTCAATTCAAATAACACAAAAAATAATATTAATTTTACTGAATGATTATGATCCAAAGCTACAAAATATATATTTCTCAAGATATTGATACTAAATTTAATCAAAAGAATATTCCAATAATCCAAGAATTCAAACTAAATAATGAATTAAATGAAATTCGGTGGCTTTATTTGGTCAAAGCAGTAAAGCCTCCAATTTGTTAAGAACAAAAGGAATTAAAGCTATCAATTTTGTTCAGATAATAAAGAAATCAAGCTGAAACAAGATCAGGTATGAGTTAAAAATAATTAAGTTTATTTATTTTTCTTCAGTTTACACAAAGCTTGTATCTCTAACTTGCGAGAGTTGTAATTTTGTACATAATTAAGTTACTAATTATTATTTTTTCTACAGATCAAGCTATTACAAGAATTTTGCAGGTCTTATCACGTAAAAGAAACACTGTTGGAAGAATCTTTGCATGGCTTTGCTGCCAGTACAAAAATGAAAGTTAATTATTATTCAAAAATAAATAAAAAAAATTTAATGTGCAACATAAAATGTGAACTTTGTAAAGATTTCTTTAGATAAAGCAGACAATGTACGATATGAGTGTTTGTGGATTTCTATCTACAATCACATTCTTTGGAATGCAAGATAGGAATATTGAGAATTCACGTTGTTAAGGGAAGGCAATGTTGATGCTGATACCTCAAGATAAATATTTTGTATAAATTTTCGAAGTAACATAATTATTTTATATATAATATGCAACTCATTTCTTTTTTAGAAATACATGTATAGTATCCACAAAAAAGTAAAACATATAAAAGATGGAAAATTTCAAGTTATATATATCATATTCATTTTTTTTCTAGTAATTTTATATCATTTTAAAGCTCATAAATTATAAAAACCATTTTATTTTAAAGGAAAAATTTTTTTTATGCTTGTTATATAAGAAAAATTTATCTATGCTTTATATATAAAAAAGTGAAATTTTCAAGCTATATATTCCTTTTTGTACATATATAAATATT